TCTAGGTTCCCTCTTGAAAGCTTGTAAGCCAGTCACTTCTTGCCTTTGTAGTCCCCGCCCCCCCCACCCCCAATTTGGGTATCCAATGTCTAAGTTGCCCATCTCTGTCTACTACTCTGTGTGTGGAGGGGGTGGGAATGTTTCTTGCTGTAAGGATTTATTCCCTCTTTTGAGCTACTGCATCCATAGGTGTAGGTCAAGTTCATCAAATTGTATCAGATCACTCTTTTTTTTCTCCTCTTCTTTCTTCTTCTGGTTGAGTTCTGATCATCCATTCATGGGGCCAGGTCACGTGGGTACCATCTGCAAGTGTGGGTTCTCCACAAACTTTTTGAAGCCCCCTTGTGTGCTAGTAGGAATAGAGATGAGTGCTCTGTGGGAGGAGGAGGAGGAGGCTAGTGTCAGGGATAGCTTTTCTGAGGAGGTGAGTCTAGAGCTTCACCCTCAGTGATGAGCAAGAGCCTGCTAAGTGAGGAGTTAGTGGAAAGTGCTCCCAGGAGTCTGAATGAGGTTTCAGACCTAAGCCTCAATTGTCACCAACAATCATATGAATCTTCCTTGATCTCCTTGGGCCAGGGGATCAAAGGGCTTTGTCTTACCTCTCCCACCACCCTTTGCCTCTCTCTCTCTCCTGTTCTAGAAGGTTCTGTGCACCCTGGTCTCACCCTGCCTCACATTTTCTCTCTTGTATCTCTGCTCAGCGCAGCTCACCAAAGCTCACTGTCTCCTCCCCATTTCACTCAGTCTTTCCCAGCCTCCCCACCCTGTGTGTGGTGTGTGTGTGTGTTTTTCTCCTCCCTATCTCTGATTCCTCATCTACCCCTCTGTCTTTCTCTGCCCATCTCTTCCTTGTTTTTCTGTTTCTCTGTCTCCATGAATTCATTAACTCAATTCACAGCTACACAGTAAATTTCTAACATGTACCAAGCATTAGGACACAGCAGTGAACAAGACAAGAGATCCTTGTCATTTATGGTGTTGACATTGTGCTGTGGGGAGTAGGCAATTAACAGCAGAAAGAGGACACAGTAAATTATCTCTCGTATATTAGAAAGTAAGAAGCTCTGGTAGTGGTTATGAGTCAGACTGCTAATCTCACGTCAGCAGTTCGAAACTACCAGCCATTCCGTGGGAGAAAGATGAGACTTTCTGTTCCCATAAAGATTCGTGCAGCCTTGGAAACCCTATGCAGGGCCGCTATGCGTCAGAATTGATTCCATGGCACATCACCACCACCATATTAGAAGGTGATCAGGACAAAAAGCATCTTGGGAGTTAAAATTTTAATAAAGCTGGTTAGGAAAGACCACACTGAACAAAGGAGGGGAATGGAAGAGTCATGGGGGAAGAACTTTCAGCAGAAGGGGCAGTCAATACAAAGGCCCTGAGGCAGGGAGTATTTGGAGTGTAGGAAGAAGAGCTAGGAAGTCCCTATGGCTGGAGCAGGGTGAGCCAGAGGCAGAATGGAAGGAGGTAAGGGCAGGAAAGTGATAGGATAGATCACGTGGGACCTCGTGAGCCACAAGAGGATTTTGGCTTTCCCTGAGTGAGATGGTCCTGCTTTCTATATTGTGTCTTTTTTTTCCTCTCTCTGTCAACTTCTGCTTGCCCTTTGCCTCCAGTGGCCTCTGAAGTTACAGCCTTCGGGTGAGTAGTTTGGCTTTGGACATGGGGGGAGTGGAAGGGGATGAAGCCTGGAAGGAATTCTTGTTCCCCCTTTCCTGTGGCGAAGGGGCTCTCTCTCCTCATTTCTCTGCAGTACATTCTACTGAAAAAGAGCCTGGAGCAGCTGTTTCCAAATCACCTGCTCTTTGTAAGTATGCTGGTGGCCTGGGGGGAGTGGGTGGTCAGGGTTTGGAGATGACCAAGTGTTGGGGGAAGGGGACTCAGAGAGGATCCTTCAATCTCTCCCATTTCCAGGAGGAGATTATTTCTGCTCAGGCTACCGGGGAGTTTGAAGTGTTTGTGGATGACAAACTGGTCCATTCAAAGAAGGTGACTCTGAGCAAGTGTTTCATGGAAGGCGGGTGGAACTGGGGTTCTGAGGAAGCGAGGTAGACGTGTCTGTATTCTTCCCCTTTGTACCCAGAAAGGTGATGGTTTTGTGAATGACACCAGGCTTCAGAAAATTGTGAGCAGTATCCATGAAGCGCTCAAGAAAGGATAGCAGGCAACTGACCAACTGGACGTGAGGGCTTTGGGGGTGAGTGCCAACCCACTGAGAATCACGACACTGCCAAGTTGACACATAATCTTACCCATCTCAGCCAATGTTACTCTCCCCTTGTACCTCAGTGTTTGATACTACCAGATATATGTCATCAATGAGGAAAACAGTTGCATAGTAGATTTTTTACTAATGTTATAAATGCTAAATGTCAGAAAATGAAGCGGTCCATAAGTGAGATGGTGGGGTTGTGTGCCGGTGAGTCAGTTCTGACTCATAGTCTCCCTGTGTAGAGTTTCTGAGACTGTAAATCTTTATGGGAACACAAAGCCTCATCTTTCTTCACTGGAGAAGCTGGTGGATTTCAACTGCTGACATTTGCAGTTAGCAGCCCAATGTGCCAGAACTCCTTAAATGAGGAGTAGGTGTAAATAAATATATATTCACATTGTTGTTGTTGTTAAGTGCCAGCAAGTTGGTTCTGATTCATAAAGACCCTGTATAGTCTTTCCAAAGAGTAGCTGGTGGATTTGAATAGCCGACCTTGAGGTTAGCAGTCCAGTGTTTATCATACGACAGTGCCACACCAGGGCCCTATAGTCCCATTAGTTTTTAATTTTATTGAGGTACAAGGAATGATAGTAGTGTAGTGAGTTATGTGTTGGGATGCTAGCTGAAGGGTTAGTAGTTCGAATTCACTAGCCACTCAATGGGAGAAAGAGGAGGCTTCCTGCTCTTATGACGATTTGCAGCCTCAGAACTCCTATGCAGGGTTGTTATGAGTTGGAGCCGACTCAGCAGCCACAAGAACAACATAAAAGATGCATGACAGGCAGCACATGTTGGAAATGTACAAGTTGATGAGTTAGAACATCTATATGCACCTGTGGAACCAGCACCACAAAAAGCATGATACACAAAAGTCCCGTCATGAACCATTGTAATCTCTTCTCTATTCCAGACACCATTAGACTGCCTTTTGCCACCATAGATTAGTTTACATTTTGTAGCATTTTATATCAACAGAGGCTATAACTTTTTTTTTTCTTAAATATTTTATTGTGAATTATGTGATAGTTTACATGGGAGAATAATAGTTTTACATTCATTCTATCGTATATCATCTCATTGCCATGGTTACAATCCCCTCCATGCAATCCTTCCCCCATACCCTCCCAAATCTTTCCTGCTGCTCCACAGGAGAAAGATGAGGCTTTCTGTTCCCATAAAGATTTACAGCCTCGGAAACCCTGTACAGGGTCACTATGAGTAGGAACCGACTCCGCGGCACATAACAATACCACCACCAACAAGACTCCTAATTGATCCATTTTTTAGCCAGTCAAAGCGGAGGGCAGGAGAGGTTGGAGAAAGGTCTGTTTCCCATACCTACCAATATGCAGACTACACGGTAGTTACACATCTAGCTTTCAGGATGAGACATGGTTTAAATTTGGAAACTACTACCACACAGTCTGAAGTTGGGTGACATCAGATGTTGTGTGCTACAGGCTTGCTTGTGTTATTGGAATCAGGTCTCTTTTGATTGCAACAACAACAAAAAAACACATTTCAAACTAGTTTTTTTTTTTTCTTCTTCATTATTTTTTATGTGGATTGTATGAATAAAAGTCCAGGAGAAAATGAGCATCAGGCATGGCTGGATCCAGGCACCTAAAGGCTTCCTTTGTGAATCTGGCTTTCCTCTACTCACTTAAGTGTTATCAAGTCAGTTCTGACTCATAATGACCCTATATATAAGGTTCCCGAGGCTGTAAATCTTTAAGGGAAAAGAAAGCCACAGCTTTCTCCCATAGAGTGACTGGTAAATTTGAACTGTTGACCTTGTGGTTAGCAGTCCAGTGCTATTCCTACAACCAGGGGGGTTGGCTTTATCTTTGACTGGCTTTCTTGTTAGTCAGGCTCCTGCTTCTGGTGGCACATGTCCTGTGAAAGGTTCTCATTGGCCTGTAGTAGGTCACATGTTCATTTCTGAGCCAATCACTAGCTAGTCCTGAGGCCTGTGTCCTGGAATTGGAATTGGGAGTTGGCCCCTTGAATCACACTGGGAGACAATGGATGAGGATACTGGATGGATAAAGACAATCTACTACCTTATAGTCAGAAGATTGGTAATGGTTAAGCCAACACTGCCAGGGTTCAAATATCAACTCTGCCATTTGTTGGCTGTGTGACCTGGGACAAATGTCTTCACATCTCTATGCCTCGGTTTCCTCCTGTAAAGTGAAGATTATATGATACACTACTTCACTGGATTTCTTAATTTATTCAAAAGTGGTTGCTGAGCACCTATTGGATACTGACCAAAGCGGACCTAAAACGGAGACAAACTCTTGCTGATGTTTTAGGGGGGGGAAATAGACAATGAATAAGATCCATAGATCAATTAGAAGGTGAGAAGTACTGAGGAGAAAATTAAAGCAGAGAAGGAGAAAAGGAATGCTGGGATTTTTCTTTCATAATTTTCAATAAGGTAGTAAAGAAAAGAAAGGTTCATTGAGACGGTGATATTTGAACATGTGGGGAGAAACAGATCAGGCAGAAGAGTCAGTACAAAGGCCCTGTGGTAGGAATGTGCCTGATGCATATGAAAACCAGCAAGGAGACTGGTTGTTGTTGTTAAGTGCCGTGGAGTCAGTTGTGACTCACAGCGCCCCTGCATAGGGTTTCTGTGGAACTACTGGTGAATTTGAACTGCCGATCTTGCAGCTAACAGTCCAGTGATTCTCCTATAGTAGCACACTAGGACTCCCAAGGAGTCAAGTGGGCATTGTAATCTCTGAAAGGTACTAGAACAGTGGCGCACACTCACTAAACCTGATGTAAACATTATTATTTTTATGGAGTTGCTGTCATGTTATTTTTAATTTTCTCTTTTCTCTCTGCATCTCAGGAGCCTCAGCAAGATGACGAGAAGGGCTGAAATGTTGCCAAGTCAGGTCCTTTTCTGATGGTGGCTGGGGCTGGGTTAAGTCGGGGAGGGTGATGAAGTAAAAGACATACGGAATCTGCCTCTCTCTGCTCTGGTCTGCCTGCATCTCACTGATCCAAACTGGGACCCTGCTCCAGTGGAAAATGGGAGATGGATCTAGGGTAGGCAACGAATGCTATTTGCCATAACATGGTGATGGGAAGCATTATTGGAGAGAGAAATCAGACATGCTATCCACTGTGGTGAAGCTCAGATCTGTACATTTATCAAGAGTCTGGACACTATTTCTGTCTGGTGGGTGAGGATGAAAAGTAACTACATGATTGCAGATAGCCTGGCAGAGTAGAAGGCAATATAACCTAGTGGTTAAGAGCAGAGACCTTGGATTCAAAACTTTGCTTAAATTCAGATTCCAGCTTTGCCACTTCCTAGCTTTGGCAAAGTAACTTCACCTCTCTTTGCCTCAGTTGCGCCATCTGTAAAACGAAGAAAATAGCAGTACGTAAGCCTATAGAGTTTTGGAGAGGGGTTGTTGTTGTCGTTAAGTGCCATTGAGTCAATTACTGACCCATAGCAATCTTGTATAGGGTTTCCAAGGAGCAGCTGGTGATCTTGAACCACCAACTTTGCAGTTCAAACGATTGCAGTCTGACACATTAGCCCACAGTGCCACACCCAAGAGTTAAATATGTAATGATCTCAGAAGAGTGCTTCAGAAGGCATAAGAGCAATGTAAATGATTGATGTCTTTTTTGCTTTATAATTTATTCTCTTAAGCTATATTTACTTACAATAACAGAAGTTATGCTCATGTAGCCAAAGAATCTATGAGCAGACTGATTTCAGGCAGGGCTGACTCAACCAAACCCAAATCAAATCTACTGCCATTCAATCATTAAGTCAGAAAACCTCATCTTTCCCCAAGGAGTGACTAGTGGGTTTGAACCATTGATCTTGAGGTTAGCAGTCCAGTGCTTACCCTACAGCGCCACCTGGGCCCAGCTTAATGTGGCCAGCTGGCCTCTGCTCCACTCTGTTTCAGCTGGTGCAGCCCAGAGACTGGGCCTGGAATTATTGGGAGGCTTGCTCACATCTGGGTACTGGGCTGGGGAAACTCAACCAGTAAGGACTACACAGCTGGGGTTACTTAGAAATCGTTCACTCTCTCTCTCCCTGTGACCTTTCCAGAATGGTGGCTTTGGGATGGCCAGACTTCTTATATGGAGCTCCAGGCTTCTAGAGTACATGTGCCAAGAAAGAGGCACTCCGAGAGTGCAGAACACAGAGAAATAGAAGGAGAGCATGCCCGAGGCAGCTACAAAGAGATATGGAGAGAGACAGAGAAAGAGATGTATAGAGAACAAAGAGAAATAGGAAAGGAGAAAGGGAAAATAGATGGAAACTCTATTGCCTTTTTTCAGTCTAGTTTTGGAAACCAAGGAAGTTCTGCTACATTATATTCATTAAAAGCTGTAAGTTCTGCCACATTGTATTCATTACATTGTATCCATTGATGACAGCAGTGGGATTAGACTCCACCACTGAGTGTTAGATGCTTTGATATTCACTATAGTTGAAGATGACCCCCAGTACCTCCCAGTTTATATCCTTACAGGTAGTGGAAAACCTCATGGAAATAGAATTTTTTTCTGATTGTTCTAAAAAAAAAAATTCCATTTGAGCAGAGACCTGGAGGATGACTGGGAATTGGTCAGGGAAAGATGTCTGGGCAGAGAAAGCAGTGTAAGCAAAGGTGATTGTGTGTGTGGGAAGAATAGTAAGTAATTTGAGTTAAAAGGGGAAGTGACCTGCTCAAGAGCCCAGTAGGGATGTGGGGCTTTGTCTAGACCATATTGGAAGGATTTGAAACAGGAGTCAACTAGATTTTAGAGTGATTCCTCCTGCTACTTCCTGGAAAACAGGTAAGGGAAAGCAGTGAGGTGGAGAATGGGATGGAGCCCTGAGAAGGCTGTTATACTATGAAGCACACTCTACAACTACCAATGGTGTATTTGAACAACCAAACTTGCTATTCAAACCGACCTTG